AATACTTGAGAGAAATTTTTCCCTGCAAACTCCCAGAAGTAAAATATTTGTATATTTGTTAACCTCTTTTGGTGAATTTGGAGCTCATTTTTAATCACTGGTGTGTTGGAAGAGCTTTCTTGGAATTGATTTCTTGCTTCTGGATTTGATTTTGGCATCAGTGGTTGAAAAGAGCCTTGAATTGTCAAGAACATTAAAAATGTAGCTTGAGACCTGTTTAAAAGGAGTCCAAATACATTGAGCAAAGTGGCAGAGTTCTCCTGAGACTATTGCAGCCTAGACATGTCCTATTGATGTTGAGGAGTCTAAGGGAACAAGGTTTGTGTTTTCACTTGCATACACACTTCCTCTCTCTATAGGCAGCTACATTACCACGATTGGAGTGGATTTTAAAATCCGGACAGTTGAGATTAATGGAGAAAAGGTGAAGTTACAAATATGGGACACAGCTGGACAAGAGCGCTTCCGGACTATCACATCAACGTGAGTATAGTTGGGCTCCTTTGAATGTAGTGCCAAGCTTAGATATTAGGGGCTTCTTGGAATGCTATTTGTCTATTAGTAAGGCATTTGATACGGTCTCGCATGATATTCTTATTGATAAACTAGGCAAATATAACTTAGATAGGGCCACGATAAGATGGGTGCATAATTGGCTGGATAACCGTAGTCAGAGAGTTGTTGTTAACGGTTCTAAATCCTGCTGGAAAGGGATAACAAGTGGAGTTCCTCAAGGGTCTGTTTTGGGACCCGTACTGTTCAATATCTTCATCAATGATGTAGATATTGGGATAGAGAGTACTCTTATTAAGTTTGCAGATGATACCAAACTGGGTGGGGTTGCAACTTCTTTGGAGGATAGGGACATAATTCAGAATGACCTTAGCAAGTTAGAGAAATGGTCGGAGGTAAACAGGATGAGGTTTAATAAGGAGAAATGCAGAGTGCTCCACTTAGGAAGGAACAATCAGTTCCATACATACAAGATGGGAAGCGACTGTCTAGGAAGGAGCATGGCGGAAAGGGATCTAGGGGTCATAGTGGACCACAAGTTGAATATGAGTCAACAGTGTGATGCTGTTGCCAAAAAAGCAAATATGATTCTAGGTTGTATTAACAGGTGTGTTGTAAGCAAAACTCGTGAAGTCATTCTGCCGCTCTATTCTGCACTAGTTAGGCCTCAGCTGGAGTACTGTGTCCAGTTCTGGGCGCCACATTTCAAGAAAGATGTGGAGAAATTGGAAAGGGTACAGAGAAGAGTGACAAGAATGATTAAAGGTTTAGAGAACATGACCTATGAAGCCAGGCTTCATGAACTGGGCTTGTTTAGTTTGGAAAAAAGAAGATTAAGGGGGGACATGATAGTGGTTTTCAAATATCTAAAAGGGTGTCACAAGGAGGAAGGAGAAAATTTGTTCCTCTTGGTTTCTGAGGACAGGACATGGAGTAATGGGCTTAAAGTGCAGCAGGGGAGGTTTAGATTGGACATTAGGAAAACATTCCTAACTGTCAGGGTGGTCAAATATTGGAATAAATTGCCAAGGGAGGTGGTGGAATCTCCCTCTCTGGAGATATTTAAGAACAGGTTAGATAGACATCTGTCAGGGATGGTGTAGACGGAGCTTGGTCCTGCCTTGAGGGCGGGGGGCTGGACTCGATGACCTCTCGAGGTCCCTTCCAGTCCTATTATTCTATGATTCTATTATAGCACTGGAGTTTCTCAAGCTTGTGGTTTGTCTGGGTTTCAGGGATTCTTTTCCAAGATCTGCCATGAGAATTTGGGATGAAGCTTTTGTGGTAAGGCACAGGGCTAGGAGGCAGGACTCCTTGATTCTTGGCTAAGCAAAAGATATTGTATATGAACTTGGGCAAGTGTCTTAACTCCTCTGCCTCCAGTTTCCCAACTGTAAAACTGTGACTGTTTCTTTATTTTCTATACATCAGTAAATCTACTTTCTCAGCCTTATGCAAAATGTGCTACAGAAGTCCAAAATATTAACTCCTTTTGTCAGTTTTGTAGTTTAATGAGGGATTTGAAGTTTAAGAATTCAGTCTCAAATACATGAATTCTGTTTTGAAATTGCTAATTGTGAAGGAACTTTCTTATTAAAATACATAGTGTTTTATTGATACAGACACCAAACAGAAGATTAACCTTCTTCTTGGTCTGAGGTCAGTTCATGCTCATTGTCCTTTGAACAACTGCAGTGCTTTTCCTGTTCCTGAAGAAACCACACCCTGAGCTGCAGCTGCAGCACTGAGAGCTCAGGAGAATGAAGTGTTTTTGCTGTAATAGGTTACAGAGGATTTGGGTCCGCTCAGAGTGGTATTGGGAGAAGAGGAAGGAAGGCATTTGGAAATTAATCACTTGTTTCTTTTCTGTATAAAATAAATTTGTACTGGGAGGACCAAGTACCTGGGTTTTTTTCATATTCCTTAAGACCAAAATGGACCATTGTGATCCTCTAATATTGTCCTCCTGCACATTGCAGGCCACAGAAGCATACCCAACCAGTTCTGTAACTGACCCATAATCACTGGTTGAGTTAATGAAATTCTTGAATAATATTTTAAGACTTCAGGTTACAGAGAATTCAACATTTACTCAAATTTAAATCCGCAAGTGTCCGATGCCCCATGCTGCAGAGGAGGACTAAATCCTCCCCCCAGGGTTTCTGCCAATCTGACCTCAGGGAAAAGGCCTTCTCAACTCCCACTATGTTAATCAGTTGGACTCCAAGCATGTGGACGAGACCCACCAGCTAAATGCCTGGAAAGAATTCTCTTGTAATTCCGAGTGTTCCCCATCTAGTGTACCATCTCTGGCAGTTGGGGATTTTTGCTACTTGAGGTCACAAAAATCACATGCCATTGTAAGCAGTCTTATCATCCCATCCCATCCCATCCGCATCTTACCAAGCTCAGCCTTGAAGCCAGTTAGATTTTTTATGGCTAGAAACCTTCATCTCTAGAAACCTTCATCTCCTTTCAAGCCTAAGCTTGTTGATGGCCAGTTCATATCCATTTCTTCTTCCTTCAATGTTGTCACTTAAATAACTCTTCTCCCTCCCTGGTATTTATCCCTGTGATGTATTTATATAGAGCAGTAGTATCTCCACTCCTCCTCCATTTGGTTAACCATTCACAGTTGACTTTTCTTTTTGGCTTCTGCCAATTAACTGAACCAGGTAATTTTTCATAACACATCAGGTATCTATATAATCATAAAATATTAGGGTTAGAAGAGACCTCAGAGGTAGCTTTTAACAGGGAGTTGGACTCTAACAAACCTAAAGTCAAAAGCATAATGGGTTTGGCTCCTTTTGGGAGAGTTTTAGAAATTTAAAACTGCTCCACTCCTTTCCTTTGCATTTCTTCACTGATACTGATGAAGACTTTTTTGATAAAAGCATTACAGACTGCGTTACCTCTTAGTGTTCCTGTGCATAACGTCACTTCTTGTTTCAGTGCTGTGGCCAGCTTCAGAGAGGAAGTGGTGAGGGGGAGGCAGTAAGGCACTGCTGAAGTTCTTATCAGCTGTGCATACAGGCCACTCTATGAGGCTGAATTTGTGCTGACTCAGCAGAGTACCTTCCTGTTTTCAGAATCCACAGACACACTTCAGAGCCGAGTTAATGAGCCTTGGTTCACTGGGCTATGGGGGCTGATGCCAGGTAGATCTGAAAACCACAGTGCCCAACCATTAAAGGAGGAATACTAGGAAATGAGACTTACTTTTGAGTACAAATAGCTGCAAAAGTGACTGTTTTATGCAAAGTGTAAACCTTTTGCGTCTCCATCCACTCACAAGCATTTTTTAAAAAAAGAACTTCTGAGAATCATAGAGAGTGCTTTCTACATGAAGGATTTTGGACTTCCTGATGCATACAATGCTGCTGTGATAGCAGCTTCTCTGAGAGCATTCAGGGCAAACTGGGGAGTAACAAGCCCGTACATTTTCCCATATTCCCGATTTGCAGAGTAGTTACCAGCTTGCCCCAGAGCTTCCCATTGACAAGCAATAACATTTCCAGTTCTGCATGCCACTGAAGGACATTTTTGTTTTCAGCCTCTTTGGGATATTGATGGCAAAGACTTAGGGAAGAAGTGAAAAAGCTGCTGCAGCACCTAGCATTGTGGTAGAGAAACTTTTTCCTCCAGCTATGTGGGTTGGCTGTGGCTCCTGGAGTACACTGCAGCTTCCTCTTCAGTAGGCCAGTAGGTTTGAAGCAGACTCCTCTATGGTGGACCATATTCCCTATGCAGATAATAAATAAGATTGTGGATTCAGAATTTTGTCACGGGAGTATCTGATTTGCTTAGACCCATGGTGTCCAACCAGTTCTCAAGCAGTGGCCACTATAGTGGCTACCACTATAGCAAACTAATTACACTTAATTAGCCAAATAGCTACATGTGGCTAGTGACCAGTGTGTTGGACACCATGGGCTTAGACCAACCCATTGAGTAGCTGATCAAATTACCTTGCTATAAGCTGTACAGATGGGCAAGGCCAAATAAAGCATGGGGACGGTGCCAGTACATGACAACAGAATTGTTGAAATTTTAGGTTGTTCTAGCAGTGACTGGATTGAGGTTAAAGATATAAAAAGGGGAAAAGGTGTTCCTGGGCAATTGCCATAGACCAGTATTAATATTTGCAGGTGAAGATAGTCTACAGATAGATGTCAAGTCTGAGAGCATTTGGTTGTAATAGTAGTGGGTTTGAAGTGCTGTTGGGAAGACTAATTGTTGCAATATGACTGAACTGAGTGAAATTCAGTAGTAGAAAATGGGAAGACCTAAAACTGTAGAAGCCTAACATACCGCATTTTCCGGCGTATAAGACGACTTTTGATGCTAAAAAACATCCCCCAAAAATCGGGGGTCATCTTATACGCCGGGTA